AAATTGCCAAAGTCGAGACTTCAAAACTTCACTCCACAAACCAATGGGTGACGTAGCGACAACTACGTCCACTTCTAATAAACAGTCGGTGGGAAAATTGAGCCGTTTAATGACCTTCAACACTCGGGCTGAAGGAGAGTTAAAAAAGAAGATGTCACGGCTTCATATCGCGTCATATCGTTCACAACTCGTGCAGTAAAGTGTTACTGCTAAAAACAAGACAGACACTTTGAATGAGTGTCCAACGGTCGGGGACATTGAGAGATGGCAAATTAGAAAATCGTGTACTTGTGTGCAAGTACAATATACAGTTTGTAGACAATGAGGGCGTACGTAAGTGTGCACACGCAGTTTTGGCAACGGAAGTACGGCGGAGTGCAACATCTTGTCAAGCTGATGTAAGAACATTAACCACCAAAGATAGAGAATACAAACTAAACAAAGTGTCTCTACAGGTCTGTGTGCTGTTAGAGTAGAAAACATTTAGTGTGCAGGTATAAACATGTATTAGGAGGAGAAACCCAGCGTGTAACGTTCCACCAGAGAGACATTATGAGCTACAAGTCACTAGATGATCAACTCTGCTCTCTGAGTTCATGAGCAGAACGTCAGACACCATGAAGACACTCAGAGCTTTCACTTGATTCAGCTTTAACAGCAGCTACAAACAGCCCAGTGGTCGTCAACACCTTCAACAGCTGACAGACAAAGACGGAGACGGAGTTCCTACAAAGAACGATTGAATTGAAAAAGCTGCATTCTTAATCATTCAACCTGTGTGTTTCTTCAGATAATGATGATGATCAGTAAGATAAGTTTGAATAAAATGACAAAAATGATTGTTTTGGCTCGACTAGATTGACTGAAATATTCAATATAATCTGATGAAAAATAATGTAACACAGGACTCAGACTAAATACAAAATAACTGACAAATTTAAGAGTGAAAATGTTTTGACTAAAAGTTGACACTAAAACTTGGCTGAAATCCTTTGAGGGATGAAAATGACTAAAATCTGACAAATAACTGGTGATTCGTGACGGCAGCTGTTCTAAACACCAACAGAACAAGTAGCTGTCCTCTTGAAAAGCCTTCAATCTGTTTTAAATAAAGACTAATTAGTGTTTATTATCTACAGCAACTATTAAGTTACTACGAGCAGCCACGGCTGAGAGTCACAAGTTATCAACGTTATCCTCCTCGTAGTGGAGCCGGCGCCAGACAATGACGTAATGACAGCCAATCAAATAGTTTACAGGATATTCAACCTTTGTTTCTTTATAACACATGGAATACTTGACTTCTTTCTTTACAGGGTTTGTATAAAGGTGATAAAGTATTCCATGAATATGAGATATGAGTTTAGATAAACTCTCTATATAATCCCTCCTCTCTATAGTGGAGGTTGATTTATAGCTTTTAGCCGATTACACCTACAGTCTATGTTCATATCTCTCAGTTACACTCGTTGTCTTTTTGATTCTTCACACTTCATTTTGTTTCTACGTCCTCGGATGTTTCGGAGAATAATGCTCCGTTCATGCTCGGAGCTCGCGCTCAGTCTGCAGAGGCTCCGTCTGCGGAGGCTCCGGCTATGGAGGCTCAGTCTGCGGAGGCTCAGACTACGGAGGCTCAGTCTCAGTCTGCGGAGGCTCCGTCTATGGAGGCTCCGTCTACGGAGGCTCAGACTACGGAGGCTCAGTCTCAATCTGCGGAGGCTCAGTCTATGGAGGCTCAGTCTCAGTCT